AGGTATTCATATTTCTGTTATGCGATGGACGTATGCGTCCTGTTTAATGAATCATGTTTTATGTTTAAAACTTTATGCCTCATGTTTCATGCTTGATGATGAAACTTCATGTTTCGTGTTTTACATTATGTGCCTCGTGTTTCATATCTAATGATAAAACTTTTTGTTCATGTTAAAATTAGTGCTTCATGTTGCATGTTATAAACTATGTGGGCGGTTGGGAAGCCTAGTGGTTGAAGCGTTCGGTCGTCACGCTGAAACCGCAGTTCGATTCCCCACATAGCACAATGTGTGAAGCCCATTTCTGTTGTTCGCTGCTGTGATATTGCTGGAATATTGCTTAAGGTGACGTAAACCCATACTCACTCACTCACCATAAATTATGTGCTTTATGTTTCGTATTTTTAACTATGTGCTACGTGTTTCATATTTAATGATAAACTTTCACATTTCATGGTAATACATATGCTTCATGTTACATGCTATAAACTGTGTGCTTTATGTTTACTGTTTCAACTATGTGCTACGTGTTTCATATACTTAATGATAAAGCTTCTTGTTTCATGTTAATATTATGCTTCACGTTGCATGCTTGATGATACTTCATGTTTCATACATGTTTCTGCATTTTTACATTCCCCATGCACTTTTGTTTATCGTCTCTTCAGAACACCAAACAATACCGACATGTACATAGGAATTCCGAATATACAATTAGGAAGTACAACTACGGAAAAGCCGCGGGTTGTGAAAAGCGCAGTTATGTCAATAGGAAGAGAATGAAGCTGTTGATTGACGTGTGTTAGTCGCCTCTTAGGACAAGCATAGGTTGCTGAAGACCTGCACAGCTGCAGGTATCCTGGTCACTGTTCCAACGAAATTACTAGTTCAGTACATGAAGAGTTCTACCATGACTTCAGTAAATACTAGATTGTGATTGGTTGATTAAAGTCATTCAAGGGTATATAACCACGTTACATACCTCTGATTTTCCAACATAGTGTATTTAAAAAAAAATCTTTATAAAACAGTTTATGGTAGAATGGAGATTAACATAACTGTGTTGGAAAATCATACTGGATTGTGATTCATTTTTTTTCACGCTACGCGTTCGGTTTTAAATCATATTTAGACTCGCTGAGCTATTATAATTTCGTTATGTACCTCTGATGTTTCAACGCAGTATGTTTATTTCCTGATCGTTTCCTTTCTTTTTAAATTATTTCCTTTTGCATATGTGTTTAACGCATCTGATATACCAATATTGTACTATTTCTATCTCATGGTAAATTTAAGTACTATAATGTAAAGTTCGTATTTCTGTTTTGGTATGGTTCTTATCCGCCCATCTAAAACAAAGCTATTTAAACTGTGTTCGTCTCGTGAAGCTTTCAACGATGAGTTTCAAGTTTCGAGATTGTGTGTTAGGGTTGTACCATGTGGAATTAATGGAGGGAAAGTAGACAAAGTGTTAGATAACATGAACTCTATGAATTCAATACACACCACACCACACACCACCACACACCACCTCCCCCACACAAACACATACACCCACACACCCCGCCGCCCCCATCCACCTTGATGATGACACACAAGAGAAGCAAATGTTCAAAAATATATGGCTCTGCGTAATCGAGTCTTCCTGTATTAAATAAATGTTGCTGCTTTTTAACCGGGTACCTTCACAAACTGTTGCAGCAATGGCCATTGTCATTTCCATTATACGAAAACACAGAATGGGAACATCATTTGCCCCGAGTCTTGACAAATATACAATTGCACCTGATTTAATTGGAATGAGTTGGTGATTTGTGTCCGACTCCTCTTAGAAAAGTATACCTGTTATATCAGACATCTGCCTTGTCGCCCATCGAACATGTCCGGAATATGATTCTGCGGAGCATACCTCACCGGCAACAACCACAGACTACTCTGAAAGAGTTTGGAGTTGCCCTGCAGGAAGAATGGGATGGAATGAACCATGTTGACATTGGACGTTTGATTAGGCGCATGCCTCGCTGAATTCAGGATTGCCTTAAGAATACAGACGGATTCCCGCGATATTAATTAGTTTCACCTTTCATGGTAAATAACGTGAAAGTAGGCCGTTTAGGCATATTATCTAACAAAATCCAATTTTCAGTCAGATGTCCCCGTGAAACTGTAAAACTATTTTTCTCACTTCACATATAAAATATCAATAGTCGTGACACTGTTTCACTTATATCCTCTACTTGTTTAATTTCATAGCAATAAAAGTCTTCACCGACTGAAAGAAACAAGATACGGTCATACACGTACGTAACAATTCATTTTCATGAAATTTGTTCAAGGCCCAGGGTCTAGATTTTCGAAGCTCTCTTAGCGCTAAGATAGTCGTAGGTTAGTGTTAATGTATGACACTTACGACTATCTTAGCGCTAAGAGAGCTTCGGAAAATCTATGCCCAGTATTTCACTATACAGTAGCATCACTCACCTACCAGGACCCGCAGATTACCCATTGTGATCCTTGGTTTGTCCACACTTTATCATGGCTCGAGGGGTTTGACAAAGTAATATAATTCTACGACCATAAGAATATTTACAGGCCGCCGCCAAAAGGTTGTAATATAGTTGAGCGTGAAGAACAGGCAACACACCGTTTTGTTGTTGGCTCTGAAGACTTTCTCTGAGCATGTACATTATTATGTTTTCTATTTTAGAATGGACAATATGTTTTATCGGATGTAACAAGGTGTTCATAAGGATCATTCACTCTATTTCAAAACTTCACAATTTTCCAGTTGAAACGTTGTGCCACTTTTGTATATTTTCAATTTTCCAAACAAAATTTATTTTAGAATTTAAATAAATGTTCAACTGACGTTTTGTGATTAAAACCCATAGTGGCGGAAGGATCCGAAACTGGCGATGCAAGCTAACCTATTTTCAGGCACAGTAATGAACTTATTGGAGTTTTCTTTGGCCAGTTGTTTTTCCCGTATTTGACATGAGCGAAACATCAGCTTTTATTGACATATACGTCTTCCATTACGAAACATGGGCTGAAAGTAGCATTCAACGGGTAATTAGTAAAGTTATTGTCCATGGTTTTTATTTATCTTTATATCATATTATAGCGGTTCATCTCATCCCAGTTCAGTGATGCTTCACTATGTTTGAAGGCAGGCAACAGTTTCTTACACTTTCATAGATCAATGGCTCCCTTTCGGTGCCCAAGGCGCTCATAACAGTGCATAAGATTGAAGACTACATGGTGTCTCCTTTTATCCGCACAATGTTGACCTGACCTAGTCTTTTGGGGTTTAATCTGGTTTTGTGAAAGTAGCATTAAATCAGGTTATTGGGGAGAAAGACGTTTGGACAAAATAAGACATTTCAACGAAAAGAAGTCTTTCAAACGACACGGACACTTTATGACATCATAAACTGCTTTCCCTTGATCATCGTAAACTAAATATCAATACAGCGATGTCTCAATATGCCAGTTGAAAAGAGAAATGTGAATGAGAAATGCCGACGTACGACAAACAGCAAACATAAATTATATTGAAAACATACATGTACACAGAAATCCATGATGAAGGTAGCTCCACTATACAGCAGTCTTCGTTTATAACGAATACGATTTAGAAGATATAACGAACTCACTGATATAACGAAGTGCCTCTTGGATCCCAGTTTTAATCGTAATATATATGTTTTTTTTAATGTTTGGCTATACTGTAATACAATCGCCAAGGGTTGATGTAAATCCAGCTAGGGTTCATGCAGGTAGCAAAAGCGCTGTAAGTTCCCATAGTCTCTGGTATGGTGATCTACCTTCAGTTGTTGGCGACCTATAGCCCATTTTTATATTGTACCGTTAGAAATAGCGTTTTATGGTTATATGCTAGTTTTAAGTATAAATCTGTGATAGACTAGTTATGTTACTGTTCATTGCAGACAGGTAGGTATATACGTTTGTTTTTATTTCCTTTTATAACTTTACAAATCTACAACTTTCATAGTCACAATATGGCTGAAATACTGCCCATGTGACTTTCACTCAGTCAATCTTGGATCCCAGCCACTTTTATATTTTAGTCGAAATGTACATAACGAACTGCGGTTATAATATATACTGTATAGAATAATTAGTGGACCTTATGAGTTCGTTATAACCGAAGTTTACTGTATTACGTTTAACACGACCTGATGCCAATATGAAACATTGACGTACAGCATCAGCAATGGTTACGCCAACGACAACGGAGAACATCAGCATTATGTTGGTAATGCCCACAAGATACTACATCACTATCGCCGGTAATAGAGAGTATTATATGAGTGCCAATGTCATACTATGTTTACGACACGAGTCGGTAAACCTTGGTATTTCCCGAGGGAGAGCGAGGGATATCCGATATCTCGGCACGAATGTCGTAAACGTAGTATGATATGGGCACGAATTTGACATTCTATTTATTACCGAAGTCTTCTTTGATGGGCAGTTTAGAAGCTGAGTTGATGAAGAATAATGACAATTATTATGGATATACAACTTCTTTTATTCTGTGGAGGCGACGTTTCGACATAGGTTCTAATGTCGTTGTCAAGCAAGTGATACATGAGTAACATATTGAGAGAATATATACAGGAGTTGTTGTTACAGTAGATAGGAATGAGTTGTTTATACAATAGATGAGGTTGATGTACAACGTTTGTATGAGAGATTGAGTAAATTGATAGGAAGCCAGTAGGGTGACATACAAGGACTAAATTAGAGCTTATACAACTGATAGGAAGCCAGGTGGATGTTTATACAATGGATGGGGTTGATGTACATAGTTGGAATGAAACAGGTAATGTACACAAGAAATATATTGATTACTTTATCAAGTGATGGTAGGCATTGGGAATGTAGTATCCTTCATCTCAGTTGAGGGCGGGTCCTATCTTCTTGATGATGTAATGCTTCCAAAAGTTTACGAATTTTGTAGTCTGACTGGTTCTTTACAATGGTTTTGGTCTTGTCCCATTGATGGTGTGGTTAGGATGGGCTTTGATGTGGTCGGCAATGGCTGATTTAGAATCATTTTTCCTAACTGAAGCCTGGTGTTCCTTGATCCTGAGGGTGAGTGGCCTTGATGTTTCTCCAACATAGGAGTCACCACAGTCACATTCTATGTGGTAGACCACACCTGAGGGGTCTTGCTTCTGGGACGACCTAGGTCTTCCTGTGGCCTGCAAGAGGTTCTGGATGCTGTTGCCTCTTTGGAAGGTGACGTGTATATCAACTTGCTGCTTCAAGAGTCGTCGGTTGTGATGGCTAGTTGATCCTATGTACGGGAGACTGATGGTGAAGGGGGCTGTTTGTTGTCGGGGCGGTTTGGTTGTTGGGTCGAGGGTGTTGTTGATGGTCTGGTTGACAAAGGGGGAAGGGTATTCATTGTATTTAGTGAAATTCATTATTCTTCATTACCGAAGTCGCAAATTGAGAAAAATAAACCCAAATAGAGATCTACTTTCAAACATAGGCTGGCTACCCACCAGAACGCAACGTCATAGAAGAAACGTGACGTCATGGCATTGTCACGACGTCACGTCACCATGACAAACTGATATTTTGCCCTAGGGCATCGTATGAAAAATATGAAGCCCGATAGTTTTCGGTAATAATTAAATATGTATATTCTATATCTATTGGACAATCCTAAACTTTTATACAATTGATGTGGATAATAATGATCGGTATATTTGTATCAGTAATATACATATACACTATATCAACAATGGAAATTCACATCTACAATGTTGGGTATGTTGTTGATCATGTTTACTCGTATATCAATGTGTAATATATGTCGGTGAAGTCTTAAAGCGAATGCATATTAACGATATCTGGGATCTTACGTTAGTGATTGTTGACGACAAAATCGAATAGGTTCGGACTAATTTTTTCAAATAGGACAATGCATATGGCGTTACTTTCACTTTTTACGAGTCAGAAAAGACGAGAAAGGTGTCAGCAAGACACAACACTGCTGTCATGTGTTAGAAACAACAACACGCCGAACGCGTTTGTCACAACAGCATAGAGGACCTAATAGACACAGCAACACTTTAATCGCAAGGTATCCGCATCTCATACTTTACGAGACACTACAACACGCTCGATATATGTTAGTCGCCATAACACGCTGGTAGTTTTACCAGATCAACAACACTTTGGACATGTCAGACACAACAACAGCCTGGACGAGTTGGATGCAATAACACTTTGGACATGTCAGATACAACGACAGCCTGGACGAGTTGGATGCAATAACACTTTGGACATGTCAGACACAACAACAGCCTGGACGAGTTGGATACAATAACACTTTGGACATGTCAGACACAACAACAGCCTGGACGAGTTGGATACAATAACACTTTGGACATGTCAGACACAACAACAGCCTGGACGAGTTGGATACAATAACACTTTGGACATGTCAGATACAACAACAGCCTGGACGAGTTGGATACAATAACACTTTGGACATGTCAGACACAACGACAGCCTGGACGAGTTGGATACAATAACACTTTGGACATGTCAGACACAACAACAGCCTGGACGAGTTGGATGCAATAACACTTTGGACATGTCAGACACAACAACAGCCTGGACGAGTTGGATGCAATAACACTTTGGACATGTCAGAATCTACAACAGCCTGGACGAGTTGGATACAATAACACTTTGGACATGTCAGATACAACAGCCTGGACACTTTGTTCAGATACACAGCCTGGACGAGTTGGATACAATAACACTTTGGACATGTCAGATACAACAACAGCCTGGACGAGTTGGATACAATAACACTTTGGACATGTCAGACACAACAACAGCCTGGACGAGTTGGATACAATAACACTTTGGACATGTCAGATACAACAACAGCCTGGACGAGTTGGATACAATAACACTTTGGAGTGTGGACACAACAACAGCCTGGACAATACAACACAACAGCCTGGACGAGTTGGACAATAACACTTTGGACATGTCAGACACAACAACCAACAGCCTGGACGAGTTGGATACAATAACACTTTGGACATGTCAGACACAACAACAGCCTGGACGAGTTGGATGCAATAACACTTTGGACATGTCCGATACAACGACAGCCTGGACGAGTTGGATACAATAACACTTTGGACATGTCAGACACAACAACAGCCTGGACGAGTTGGATACAATAACACTTTGGACATGTCCGACACAACAACAGCCTGGACGAGTTGGATACAATAACACTTTGGACATGTCAGACACAACAACAGCCTGGACGAGTTGGATGCAATAACACTTTGGACATGTCAGACACAACAACAACAGCCTGGACGAGTTGGATACAATAACACTTTGGACATGCCAGACACAACAACAGCCTGGACGAGTTGGATACAATAACACTTTGGACATGTCAGACACAACAACAGCCTGGACAAGTTGGATACAATAACACTTTGGACATGTCAGATACAACGACAGCCTGGACGAGTTGAATACAATAACACTTTGGACATGTCAGACACAACGACAGCCTGGACGAGTTGGATACAATAACACTTTGGACGTGTCAGATACAACAACAGCCTGGACGAGTTGGATACAATAACACTTTGGACGTGTCAGATACAACAACAGCCTGGACGAGTTGGATACAATAACACTTTGGACGTATTCGTTACACCAACAGTTTGTACGAGATAGACACAACACAGCAGAGAAAATGGACAGGCTCAGAAACATACTCCTGTATTCATGTAATTTGGCCACACTGGTATTTAATTAAGGTCTTTGTCTCACTTTTCGGAATTGGTTGGAATGTAATCCTATCACTTGCAGTATTGTGGAGGTTTATAGCTCCGGAACACGGCATGGAACAATTAGCTGGCTTTGATAAGTAATTGTCTTTGATTATTCAAAACCAATTAAATAAAATTCTTTATTTAGGTTTTAATCATTCATATCCATGCGAGGGTTACATTGCATTATATTGCAATATTTCCATTATGTAGTACATGGCGCAGGGTTGACGCTCTCACTCTCACATTGTACTGGATGCTCTGACATTGGAACGAATTTCAAAATGATACTAGCCAAATTTCATTTGACTATCGCAGTGAAATTATTACAACAATCATGACAACAATGTCAAACTTGGACGAATAAATTTTAACATAGCAGCCTGAGAGTGAGTGTGTTTAGTTTTACCCCGCTTTTGACAATATTCCAGCAATATTACGACAAGAGACACCAGAAATTGGCATCAACACTGTACCAATGTGGGGAATCGAACCCAGGTCTTTGGCGTAACGAGCGAACGCCTTAACAGTAGGCTACCCCACCGCTCCTTCACAGCCTGGGAACACGATATGTCAACTGAATTTAAAAGCAATATCTGTCAAAGGAACATATATAGAGTATACATGGACATAACTCCACTCCTATCCTTTCATATGTGCATCACCACCAGCGCCACCAAAACCACCATAGACACATAAATTCTCAATAACATAAAATGACATTGGAGGAACGAAACGACGTGGGTTTAATTTTTCCATTGACACAGATCGTCGGGATCTCCCGTCAATGAGCAGCAAGCTTTCACGAGTGTGCATTGCATTTACAGCTTGATTAATGGGTTTGTAATGGCTTCTTGACAACGGTACATGATCAAATCAAATATTCCACCGGAAGATGGTGATGCAGGAATTGATTCCAGTGCGTCACGTCTCCGCTGGCTGTGCTAATATAACGTATCCATTGTATCCCAACTATACCAGCAACTGACACAGACACATCAACCCTTATACATGAGCCATTATATATTTTTAAAACAGTTTTTGCAAAACATTAGCCATTATATTAGGTTCTTCTACTTTTATTGCATGTGGTGAAATTAATAATCTTGAAGTCAATACTTCCGTTGGCCAACAGTGCTCTTTTATACGGTCTCTTTCGTTCCGATGACCTAAATGTTGACCAGGACATTTCGATTTATCAAAACAGACTGAAAAGATCTGATTACGGAATTCCATAGAGTATGTTTTATGAACACTCGTGGGGATATCATAAGCTACTTGAATGCTTTCTGCAGTAACCGTTATTTCCGCCAGCGAGAAGCCGCGAATTCTGCTTATTCAAACATGAATATGAAACACATTTGTCATAAAACGCGCTCCTCTCTCTAATTCCCTTCGCGACACATCAAATATGTATGCTCTTTTCCAGTTACGAGTACCGCTGCAATAGCATTTGTAAACATGCAACTAAGTATTGGCATATTTGTTCATTTTCCGTGCATACACTGGGGCACTAGATCATTGATGAAATGAAAACTTGCATAGTATCCAAAAGTGTATTGATTCAGTTCATGAATATGCCAGTGCTTTGATCTTTGGTAACTGAGATCGGGATTCTGTAACGTTTAAATGTCAAGCTTTACTATGATATCATCTGTATGCTTGTTCTTGTTTTGCAGTTTTTTTTTGTTGACGTGCTATTTGATAAAAAGCAAATGGAGCCATTTATTAATTATCATGAAGGTATGTCTATGTTGTATTTGGTAAAATAGGTTGGAAAGATCTGCATGACAATGTATACACGACGTCGGGTAAATAGGTGAGGTGAGGGGAAATTAGGTTTAACGTCGTACTTGAGAATATTTCGCTCATATGACGACGTGCATGCGTGTGTATGTGTATGTGCGGCTGCTTGTACTAGCCCAGACTGAAGCTGGTTTTATAGTGCTAGCCCACTGAGATACCATGCCACAGTGAAGCATGAATACCCCACTCAGACACATTATACTGACTCCGAGCCGACTAGTCCTTGTTGTACCCATTAATGCCGAGCGCCAGGCAGGGACCAACAAGTACCATATTTTAACGTCTTTTGGTATGAAGCGGTCGGGGATCGAACCCGCGACCTTCCGCTCTCTGGGCGGACGCTCTAACCACTACACCACGGAGGCAGTCTCGGGTAAATAGGATATCTTATGTCATACATGCTACTGATGCAGTTTAGCTGGATTTGTTTTTATTGTCATACCCGACATCATCACGGCCTTACTTCACGAGCGATGACCTGTGACTGGGCTGGTCCACGTCGACCTCACACACGCTCTTGGCTGGCAAGGCCAATGATTGACAGACATGTCCGGCCGCAGCGGCGACAAAAGGATATGTTGAATAACTGTAATGTCTAGGCCCATGCACATATTACTAAACCCATCGCCAAACGCACAAAAGAAATAGTTGAAGCTTTTCACTTTTCATGGCAAAAGTATGTGTTCGGTTTCACGAACCAGTTGTGTGGGACGTGTGAGATTGCTCATCCGCTGTGGATGAATATGACAGCCCATACCGTGGTTAATATGGGTTAATATTCATCTTCTAAACATGTA